ATGATGATGAGGAGGAGGAGGAGGAGGAGGGGCAGCAGAGGAGGAGGAGCTCGCGGCCCGCCTTCCCCCTCCCACTTCCTTGCTCCTCTTTCCTCCCTGCCCCCTGCTTCCTGCTCGCTGCTCCTCCGTCCTTCCTCTCTCCCCCCTCCTCTTCCCCCTGCCCCTCCTTTCTACCTCCTCTCCCCCCGCCCGCTGCCCCCCTCCCACCTGCGTTCTGAACGTCCTCCCTACGCCCTCCCTCCTTCCTCGCCGCCTTGCCCGGGTCTTTCTCGCCCGAGGGCGCCAGGGGCTCCCATGCCCGATCCGCTCCGTCGCGGCGGGAGGGGTCTTCCGATTCGGCGGCGCGTGCTGGCGACGGCGACGTTGAAGTTGACGGCGATCACTTCCGAGACCTCGAGGACCGAGGTCGAGACCGAGGTTTTTGGAGGTCTCTGTCTTCTTCTGGGCCTCCTGGGTGCCCTCGCGGCTGCGGCTGAGTCCGCCTCGGGATTCTGGCCAGAACGCGCCTCGGGACGAGTCCTGGGTCGATTCTTGAGGAGGGGTGGCCCGTTTCTGGCTCTTTGAGCTCCCTGCAGGCTCGTTGCCGTCATGGCTGGATCCGCGCCTTGAGTTTCTGCCCACAAAGCGCTCCAGGAGGGGTTCAGGGATTGCTTCTGAGGGAAAATTGGTGGGAGATCCGGGACCTCGGGCGTATGGAACAAAATCACAGGCAGTCCTGGACACCCGACGATGATTATTACGTTTTTTTTTTTTTTTTTGTTTGTTTGTTCTTTTTTGTTTCTTATTATTTTGTTCCGTTTTTGAATGCGCGGCCGCAAAGGTCCCGAACCCTTCCAAGGGGATTGTTTTTCCGCCACGGATGCGCTTTTGATGCTCCCAGGGCCCGATGACGGGCCCCCAGGGCCGAAACTGACCAACGAACACCTGCATTGAGCCTCCTCCTCCTCCTCCTCCTCTTCCTCCTCCTCCTCCTCGAACGACATAGATGTTTTCTTGTCTATCACTGTTTGTATGTCGATTTGTTTTGTCCTGTAGAGGCCCGTTTTCGGGCCTGGGGGCAATCGAACAGCCACATCGAGCAGCGACCCGCGACGGTCCCGAGGATGGTGCCGAGAGCTTCAGGGGCCCGCGCCGTGAAGAAGCAGCGGCGCCGGACGCCTTTGGAGACAGTCGTGCCTTTCATGCTTGGCACCGCCTTGGCCGCCCCCCGCTTGGCCATACCCTCCGCCCGCCTCGCGCTCTTCCCAGATCTCTAGCCGCGTGTTTTTTCTTTCCGCCCGGGCGTTTTTTTTTCGTAGGTTTCGGCCTCCCGGGGCCGTCTTCGGGCCACAGGCCCTCAAACATGGATGCCGCCCTCAGGGAGAGGGGTCCGGTGGCTCTGGGGCCGCGGATCGGAACAGATCAGATCGTTGGATGTTCGGGCTCCCCGCTCCACCATTTCCTCGCCCTGCCCTGCTTCTCCGCCCTCTCCCGCCCCTCTCTCGCCGCTCGCCAGTCCACCCCACTCCTCCCCTCCGCCCGTCCTGCTTCTCCGCCGTCTTCCTCCGTCCTCTGTCATTTCACCGGGCCTTACGTCCGAAGAAGGATGAAGAAGGCCCCAAGCCATCGAAACACCTCGGTCCTCGATCTTTGGTCGAGGTCTGCATTCTCTGTCGTTTTCAGTCGCTGTCGTCGTCGTCGTCGTCGTCGTCGTCGTCGTCGTCGTCGTCGTCGTCCTTAAACCATCAGCGGCCCCCCCCTCCCCTCGCGTGGCCATTTCGGCCCAAGGGTGTGTTTGAAGATGCCGAAGGTGGATGCGAGCAGCAGCAGCAGCTCCGATTCTGATGGCTCAAGTAGCTCGGACTCTAGCGGCGCGAAGGCCAAGAGGGGCAAGAAGAGAAAGGCGGAGTCGGGTGGAGGTAGTTCTGAATCAGCAGACACCAGCAGCTCTGATAGCGGGCAAGCTGGGAAGAAGGCGAACAAGAAGACCAATAAGAGTAAGAAGAACCAGGGGAAGGCATCCAAGGATAAGTCTGGCAGGAAGAGCGCAAAGGGCGCGGACAAGAAGGGCGGCAAGAAGGACAAGAAGGCGAAGAAGAAGGCGAAGAAGAAGGCACGGAAAAAGGCGGAGAAGCTCCAGAGGAAGGTGGATAAGGCCCTGAGGCCCATGGGCGCCGGTCGCACCCACGTGTGTCCCAACGTCCCCTCTTCCCGCACCCCTCTCACCTCCTCGCTCGAGGGGGACGTCGGGAGAGGAACGCTTCCACCGCCACGAACCCGGCGTACGCCTCAGGCTTGGGCCCAGAGATCTCGCCTGGCCTGGCCGACAGGCCATGTCCACCCAGAACCTGCACCCTACGCTTGGTCAGTGGAGCCCTGGCAGTGGTGCGTGCGTGTCCTCCTCTCCAAGACATCGGTCGAGGGGGGAACGGGAGGGTTAGGCATGCCTTGGATGAGCATAGATCGCTCCAGAGCGCTGCTCCCGATACGTCCTCCAGACTCGCCAGGTCTTAGAGAATTCGAGAATTCTGGTTTGTATCCCCATCTGATTCTGTCCTCGCTTTGCGTTCCCAGACGATGTCCCGATGGGGTCCCCAGATGTCCCGATCCCTTCCCTAGGGCCGAGCTTTCATCCCACATCGTTTCCTTGACAGTCCTGGAACCCTTTTCCACAACGCGAGCGTGTCTGGGTCACCCTTCGCGTCGTTTGTCCTCGTCCTGCCCGCGTCTTGCAGGAGGGGGGACCGGCCCGGTGGCGGTGGCGACGGCCCCGCAGAGGCGGGCGAGCAGGGCCGAGGAGCAGGCCAGGGAGTCCGCCCGGGAGCTGGCCCTCGGCTCCTACAGGAAGTCGGGGGCGGCAAAGAGAGGGGGGGATGACTAGGGGGGTGTGTACAGTCAACGCGCATAGTAAGGACAAACGACTTTTTCAAGGGTACCCTTGGGTCCTTGCCTGCCTCAGCCTCTGTGGCCCGTCCCTAGCAATTTTCGCAGGCCAGTTTCTCAGGGTACCCTTGGGGCGGGCGCTGTCCCTCGGCTGCGTGGCGGCGCGTTCCCTTGGGGATGCATTCTAAGGACGCGGGCTACCAGGGTACCCTTAGCCGTCCTTCGGCGCGTCGCTCTTCTCCTCGCCCGTGGTTCACTTTGTATATCATGGCGGGGGCCATGATATCTCCCCAGATTTCATGGCGCCTCTTCTTATTTCAATACGTTCCCGGCCCCTCCCTGGGCCGCGCACACGCCGCCGGCCATGCACTGCGCCCCCCCTCTTGGGCGCCCCCCTCTTGGCCGCCCCCGAGGAAGAGGGGCGCGGAGGGCACCGGCGCAGGCGTCGCGGAGGGGCCCCCGAAGAAGGCGAAGAAGGCGAAGAAGGCGGCGTCGCCAGGGCCCCGCGGCAGCTCCGAGGAGCGGGGGCGCCCCAGCACCTGGACGGCGCCGGCCATGCCACACGGCCAGCCCGCTGCACGTCGCCGCGCGCGCCAGCGCGCGGCGGAAGCGTGCATCGAACTGGCCTGGCCCCCAGAACAGGGACAACGTCCCAGAGATCCAACGTATTGACAAAAATCAAGACGGAGGTTTTCCTCAATGTTCGGCCTCTAGGGGCCCTCGCCGGGCCCTGGGACCGTCAAGAAGCGACTCAGGATGAACACTGGGTCCTGGGGAAGGGGTCGAGACTTCGGGGGACCGCGCACTGAAAAAGGCACGGCGTCGGATCTCTGGGGTCGCAGGGGATAGGCTCTCCGGGGAGACGCGTCGACCCTCAACCGCCGACAGGGGCCTGAAAGCCCGCCCCGCCCGGGACCACGTGGCTCCTGCTATCCGGGGGCCCATCGCCGAGCTATCGGCGACGTGCAGCCGTAGCGCCGGTGCCAGGTCGACGTTCCCCCCCAGGGAGCCAGCCCCTCCCCTGACGCTGCCCCTCCCAGGACATCCGACGCGATGCCCGTTTTTCTGTCGTGTTCCGTCCTCGGCCCCAGAGGCCCCGACCTTCCCCCGGGGGCCGTCGTTCGTCTGGGATGCATTTTTGTTCGTGATGGCCTCTGTGGGGCCCGAGCACGGGCCCCGGAGGCCGAAGTCGAGAGAAGGTGCACGTGACCGCAGACCACGTCGTCGGATCTGTGGCAGGGGTCGGTCTCTTGTCCAGGGCCCACTTGTTCGTGGTGGCCCCAGGGCCCGAGCACGGGCCCCAGAGGCCGACGTCGAGCAGAGGTGCACGTGGCCACAGCTCATGTCGTCGGATCTGCGGGGAGCTGGTCAAGTGCGTGGCTGGCGCCGTCCAGCCGGCAGCGCGAGCCCGGAGCGGGGGCGCCCCGCGAGCGCGGGGCGGGCGCCCGCGAGCCCGCCGCAGCGGCGGGCCTCGCCCGCGGCGCCGGCCTGCCCGGACTGCGGCGCGGATCGGGGAGCAGGCCAAGGGGGGTCAGCGCTGAGATCGGGGGCCACGGTGGAGAGGCTCCGGGGGGGGGGGGCGCGTCGGCCCTCCATCGCCCACGGGAATCGCCGATGGGGGGGGGGCCCGAGAGCCCAGCCCGCCCACAAGAGAACGTGCGGGCCTGCTCTCGGGGGCCGTTCGCCGATCGATTGGCGACGTATGGGATGCAGGGCTCGGGTCCGCCCCCCCGCTGCCCAGTGCGAATGGGATCGGCCCCCGCCCCCCCCCCGCTGGATGGGTACGCCCTTGAGTCTTGCGAAGGCCTCGCGAAGGGGATCTCTCTATCCCCCCTCCCCCCCTGTGGTCGTGGCCCTGAGGCGCCGGCATGGTGGAGGGGGGGTGCAGGTGCCCCCCCCTCCCCCTATGGGTGTGGTAGTAGGTGGTGGTGGTGGTGGTGGTGGTGGTGGTGGTGGTGGTGGTGGTGGTGGTGGTGGTGGTGTTGGTGGTGGTTGCGGTGGTGGCGGTGGTGCTGCGGGCTGCTGCTGCTGCTGTTCCTGCTGCTGCGTCGTCGTTTCGTCGTCGTCGTCGTCGTCGTCGTCGTCGTCGTCGTCGTCGTCGTCGTCGTCGTCGTCGTCGTCGTCGTCGTCTTCCCTCCCTATCCCATCGGGGGGTGGTGGCCGTGGATCCCTGGGGCCCAGCCCGTCTCGGGGGGCACTCCCCGTGAACCCTCGGCCCGGGACCGTGTGTCGCCGATGACTGCAGGTCGACGCTCTGCCGCCGCCCCTGCGCCGGTGCCCTCCCTGACGCTGCCCCTCGCGAGAGGGGTCGGCCGAGCGCGGCGGAGGCGCTCTGGCTGGCCCGGGCCTGGGGGCCGCGCGCTCGGAGATCCTGGCGCCGCCGTTTTTTTTTTTTTTTTTTTGTTGTTCGCGCCCGGCGTCCTCGCCCCGGGGTTTTCGCCCGATCGATGCGGCTCGAGAAGAGTTGGGAGGAGACCTGGGGCTCCTTATGGGGGCGGCAGTCGCGGGGTCCCTCGTGTGGTGCTGCACTCTTCTCTCGAGGCGTGGGGCCGCAGGGCCTGGCTCACCGTGGTCTGGGAGCCACGTGGGGCCGACCCCCCCCCCCCGCCCTCCCCTCCCTCAGCTGGCCCGGGACCGGGAGCTGCTGTGCGGCGGGCGGGGGTTCGCGACATGGCCCTGGCGGGCCCCTGTGGCAGCGCCGACCCGGGTGTCGGCTCGAGGCCCCCAAAACGGTGCGACAACACCGCGTGGTGAGTCTGGGGATTCGGGGTCACCGCGCGGCTTTCACGCCTTCGGATCGCATTTGAGGGGCCCCTCGTCGTTGTGCTTGCATCCCTGCTGGACAAAAAAACGGGTGCTGTCAGCTATGATTTTCCCTATTGCAGGGCGGCTTGTGCGTTGCACTTGGGCTCCCATATGGGGTCCGAGTAGGTGGGGTCGGAGGATCGTACCGTATCGCCGATACATCGCCAATGCATCGCCGATGCCGCTCGATGTGGAGCCCGATTTTATCCACGCCCACGGTGCCGATGCATCGCCGACGTCGCCGATGCGGTTGGGACCCAGGAAGTTCTTCGGGGGTGTCTCGGACGACTGGGGCCTCCAGGGTCCCAACACAGTGCGGTGACGGACCGCGCGGTGAGGTCCTTGAGGCTTCCGAGGTCACCACCCGGTCCGTCACTGCACGGGGTTGGGGCCCCGACGTCAGCGCTCGACCCGAGAGGAGATGGAGTGGAGCAGCCTCGCGGAGGGCCGCTACGAGAAGGGCTGGAGGTGCAACAGTTTCGGCGAGTGCGGCTCCGAGGGGTCTGCCTCCCGGTCCCGCTGGCGGTGGAACTGTCGGCGCTGCACCAGCGACTTCTGCGCCGCCTGCAGGGGAGAGCCCCCGGGCGGGGCCCCCGAGGACCTGGGCCACCCGAACGGTCCGGGCCAACGTTCGGAGGGGATAGGCCCAGGGGTGGATGCAGCGGCCCCCAATCGCCCATGAGTTGTCGACAGGGGTGCGGATTCGCTGTCGGGGGCCTATTGCCAAACTATCAGCGATGTATCGCCGATTCAAGCTCGATGCTTCCCCCCTGTGACCTGGTCCCGCACTAAGATTACCCCTCGAGCCCGACTTTCTCGACCCCGACGTCGCCGACGCACCGCCGATGCATCGGAGATGCGGCTGCGATCCTTCGACCCCAGCTGCAGTAGGCACATGCAACAATAAACCAGCTTGCCTGCAGTTGCCCACGGACATTTCTTGTCCCCCGATGTCCCTTGGGACCCACATGGATACTCGAGCACCGCATGAAGCTCAAAGACCGACGCCGAATGGGCCCTCTAGATTTTTTTTATAGGTATTTGTCTGATCGTATGTACCTACCACGGAGATCCGACGTCGCTAACAAAAACGCAACACCGTGGAAATCACGACCGGAGCCCTGGACCCCACCTTGCTGCGGCGAGTCTCGAGCCAGATCGATCCAGGTGACGACGCCCAGCGTGAACCAAATGCGACGCCCGGATCTCAGTGACTGCGAGGGCCAGATTTGAGGCCGTTCTGCTGCAGACTCTGGCAAATTCACTAGCACGGATGGGGGTGGGGCGTGGCGAAACCCGAGAGGAACTCGTTTGCTCAGCCTTTTCGGCTCAGCGCTGTCAGAAAAGGCGGCGGACGGGGTGTGGGGGAGGAGAGACATGCCATTCAAGTAATTATTGAATCGCTTCGCTCATTCCGCCGGCCCGTGATATGGCATCGCTGGTTTTTGTCTGTGTGTTCGTTGCCCATGTTGCGCTCTTGGGGGCGGGTGTCGTTCGGACGCGTTGCGTGGGGAGTTTTGATGGTGAAGCAGTTCCCTGGGGGTCGTCTCTCGATGGGGCGAAATAGAGTCGTCGTCAAGATGCTTCTTTGGGGGGCCTCTTGGGGTCTGTAATTATTAAGACTTGCTCGAGTCTACAGACAGACGCCCTCTCTGGGCGGCCTCGCGAGCACGCGGGCACGTCGCTCTTCGACGATCCCCCCGTGCCCGGGGAGGGCCACCGGAGAGACCGAGCACAGTCGGAAGTGGCACGTCGTGGTCTTTTCGGGACCTGGCTCGTATCTATAGGCCACCCAGACGGGGTCCGAGCAGATGGGGCCGGAGGACCGCGCCGCATCGCCGAGGCATCGGCGATGCGGCTCGACGCGGAGCTCGACGCATCGCCGATGCATCGCCGACGCATCGGCGATGCGGCGCGATCTTCCGAGCCCGTCTGCTCCGACCCCACTGGGGCGGCCTCGTATTGTACGGCCCCGAGAGGAGGGCGACCCTTCGCCAGAGACGGCGTCCTCCTCCGAGGACGCGGCGCCGGAGGAGCACGCGGGCACGTCGTGCGCCGCCTGCGGCGCGGCCCCCATCCGGGGGCCCCGCTTCGAGTGCTCCGCCTGCCGGGGCGTGAGCCTCTGCAGGAGGTCCTCGCACGACGACGACGACGACGACGACGACGACGACGACGACGACGACGACGACGACGACGACGGCGAGGTCGTTTCGACGACGACGACCACGACGACGACGACCACGACGACGACGGCGACGGCGACGACGACGACGAGGTGGTTTCGGGAAAGCCCTGAGGTCCGGGCGTCGCCTTTGCTTTTCAAAAACCGGGCGATGTCGCGCCCAGCGTCGGGCCCCGGGGCCTTCACGGGTCGACGGCGCTGGAGAGTTGCTGCGGGAGGAGGATGGGGTTCATCACCACCCACCAAACCACCCCAACCCAACCCGAAGGCCCAAATTTATCCTCGATTTCCAGTGGGGGGGGGTCGGGGAACACTGAAAAAACACATGGAATCCGTCCCCCCCCAACCCGAAATTCGACTCAAATTCGGGTCTTCGGGTTGGGTTGGGGTGGTCTGGTAGGTAGTCAGTTCAGGGCTGAGGTCGCTCTGTCTGACGATTGCTGTGCCTTTTTTCGCAGCGTCGGACCTCCGGGAGGACGGCGTAGACACAGACTGCCAGAGATCCGCGCGGATCCCTTGGATCGGCGCTGGACCGCCCTCCCTGGTTCGCGGAGCGCGCCCAGGGGCGGCGCCAGGGGCGCCGCCAGGTGGGTCCGGCGCAGATCCAGGAGATCCGTTGGAACCTCCGCGAGTTTCTGTTTCTGCCAGCTCGGCAAGCAACTGTCAAGCAACACGGTTTTTCCATTAGCCCCATGGGTGCTCGAAGTTCTTTCTGGTGATCAAAGCTAAAGTAGGTTGGAACATCAGAAGCTTGAGTGAGCTCTCTGATCTCAGGTTGCGGCTCCCTGCGCCTGGCATCTTCCCCTGCTGAGCCGATGCGTTGTGCGACATGGCTTGCGAGCGAACGAACGCCTCCCCCAGGTGCCACAGGAAGAGGGACTTTTGGCAGGTGGATCTCTCAGGCTCTCCGCCGCCTCCGGCGGTGCGCGCTGCGAGCAGGAACGCAGCAAAGCCACAGGAGAGAGCGCGGCATTGACAGCGTAGCCCCGCAGACGTGACACACGTTAACGAACGCCCTGCCTCCCCCCAGGTGCTACAGGAAGAGGGACCGGGTGCACCCCCCAGGGCACCGCTTCTTCGCCATGCGGGTGGTGCCCGCGGCCGCCGGCCGGCCAGAGGAGGCGCCCGCCGCCGCCGCCGCGGAGCCCAGCCCTGGCCCCGAGGAAGGTCGGGGGGTACCGGCCGTGCACGTGCACCGACCCAGACGTGCTCACGCCGCAGAAGAGGTCGCGACGGCAGGTTTTTACAGCTCTTGGGCTCCGGGGGCCATCGCCGCCGAGTCTTGGGCCCGCGAGGCGTCAAGCAACAGCTCGGGATGCAAGCGCGGCCCTGGGGAGGAAGAGGGGGTCGGGACTTCGGGGGCCCGATTTCGGGAAAACGCTTCGGATGTCATTGGGTTTTCCAGGCCAGCCCTGGGCCCAGGATCGGTGTGGGCCTGGTCGGGACCAGGGTATGTAGCCCGAGACACCCGACGATGCGGGTTCTTCCGGTCCGCGGCGCAGCAGGTCCCGACCCCCTTTCCCAGGAGTAGTCTTTCGCCCCTAATCCGTTTCTGACGGCCCCAGGGCCGCCCAACGCCGGCCCCAGAGGCCGCAATCCAGGAAAGACGCCCGCAACGAGAAAACCCATATCGAAGGAGCTCTGGGTGGTCGCTGCCCTCCCAGCAGGCTTCGTCATCGTGGCCCGCCAGGGCGGACCCGCGGCCGCGGCCGAGCCGGCCGCGGCCGAGCCGGCCGCGGCCGAGCCGGCCGCGGCCGAGCCGCCCGCGGCCGAGCCGCCCGCGGCCGAGCCGCCCGCGGCCGAGCCGCCCGCGGCCGAGCCGCCTGCGGCCCCGCAGGCGCACGGGGCCGCGGACGCCGCGGCGGCGCCCTCCGCGGCGGAGATGCAGGCCGCAGGGTCAACGTCAGGGGGGGTGGGGGGGATAGGCTCAGGGAGGATGCATCGACCCCCAATCGCCCATGCATGGCCGATGGGGGGCCCAGCAGCCCTCCCCCCCCGCCCAGGGCCGTGCGGATCCGCCATCCATCGGGGGCCAGCCGCCGCTCGCATCAGTGATGCCTCGCCGACTCCAGCTCGATGCTGCCCTCCCCGGGCTGGTCCCTGCCCACGGTCGGCCCTGACGTTAGTAGGTCGACCCTACCAAGCCAAGGGTACCCTTGTGTCCTGTGCCTCGCGGCCCATGCCCTCTCCCGTTTCTATGACGGTGTGGCCCTCGGAAGGGTTCTTGTGTCCTCTCGTGTGTCCTCTCGAATCACGTCCGACGGTAGCGGTGACCCCCTGAGCAGGCCAGGATGGCCAACATCGGCAAGGCGTACGTGCAGAGCTGGCGGCAGGAGCTGGGTCAGTCCGTCGACGCCGCGGGTAAGAAGGCACACGCCCAGGCATGCTCGCGTCTTGGAGGCATCACGGCGGGAGGTTTTTAGCTGATTTCGGCCTCCCGGGGGCCCTCGCCAAGCCCCAGGACCATCGAGAACGAGTCGGGATGGATCGCCGGCCCTGCGGAAAAGGGTCGGGACTTCCGGGGACCCAGCATTGATCAAGTCAAGACATCGGATATCTGGGTGAGCAGCATGGCGCACTTGCCGCGTCAAGCACAATTGAGTGTACAACCTGCTTGCAGTCTCCTGCCGCCTTCCGTCGGCAGGAGTCGAGGAAGAACAAGAGACGACATGAGCACACGCTTTCGGAGGTCCACGCGGATTTCTCGGATTGGCGCTGGCTGCCCCCCCTCCCAGACGCCCGCGCAGCGTGCCAGGTGCGGCGCCGGCGGCGCCGCCAGGGGTGTCAGTGTCCAGCGCCGATCCAGGAAATCTGCGCGGACCTCAGACAATTTACTTTTTTTCGTTCCTCCATAGGAGGGGGTCCCTGGCGCGCTGGCCGGCCGGAAGGTTGCCGGGGCCCGCGTGCGCGAGGCCAAGGCCAAGGACGGGCCGCGGGAGGTGTGCCTCGTGCGCCACGCGCAGGCCCTGCACAACGCGAGGCGGGAGCACGTCGACACGCCGGACTGCCCCCTGACGGAGGAGGGCGTCTCGCAGTGCCGCGCGGCGAGGGAGTCGTGGGCAGCCCGCGTGCTCGCCTCCGCCGACCTCATCGTGGTGTCGCCCCTGCGCCGCGCGCTGCAGACCGCCTACGAGCTGGCCGGGGGCGCGGCGGCGAGCGGCGACGGCCGCTTCCTGGTCACGCCGCTGTGCACGGAGCGCTGGTCTGCGAGGTGCGACGAGGGAACCGCCAAGGCCCGCCTGCTGTCGGAGCTGCCCTGGGCGAGCGGGTGGGGCGGGGTGGAGGAGCTGGAGGAGGAGTGGTGGCCGACCAGCCGCGACGGTGAGGCGGCCCGCATCGGCGAGTTCATCTCCTTCCTGCGGGCCCGCCCCGAGCGCAAGGTGGTGGTGATCTCCCACGGGGGCCTCTTGGCCCACATCGTGGGGTACAAGATGAGCAACCTCAGCCACCGGACCGTGCGGACAGACGCCCTTCGGCTGACCAGACCGACCGCCAAGCTGCCTGGCAGGCGGCTGCCAGCGGGCGCCCAGTGCAGCCTCTGCCTCCACGCCGTCCAGGGCGCTGTCGCCGGCGCCGTCTGCAGCTACAGCCGGCCCGACGGCAGTGCGGGGGGCTGCGGCAAGGGCGTGTGCTGGCCCTGCATGGCGCAGGCCTCCGCGGCGATCTTCGGCAGGGCGCGCCTCAGCCGGGAGGACTGGATCCTGCGCGGCGCCGGCGCGTGGTGGATGCACGAGAGGTGCATGACCGACGCCGACGCGAAGGCGTTCGCGAACGCCTCAGCGGCGGCGGAGCCTGCCGCGCAGGCAGCGAAGGCCGCCAGGCTCGCCGCCGACGCCGGCGGCGGCAAGGCTCTGGAGGCCTCGGGCGCGGACGCGGCCGCGCCGGCGGCGGCGCGCGCTTGGCCGGGTGCGGCAGGCGCCGACGGCGCTGCCGAGCCCGAGGCGGTGGCTGGCGCGGCAGAGGGGTGAGAGGCGCCTCGACGGTTCAGCGCCGCGCCTCCTGCGGGCGGCGCCGGCGGCGGGCACTGGCGCGGCCGGTGCCGGCAGTCGCCCTCTGAGCCCGAGGCGGCGGCGGGCGCGGCGGGGTGGCCGCGGCGGCTCCGCCACCGCTGCGCGCACCTGGCTGTCCTCAGTTTCTCCTCGCCCTCTGCCCTCGCCCCCGTCGTGACCCTCGGGGGGAGCCCCCCCCTCCCCCCTCCCCCACCGGGAGGGAGCTTGCAAGCCAGGGCCTTCCATCAGGGGAACAAGCAATGACATTAAACATCAGAGCTCGGAGGGCCGCGCGGATTTCTCGGAGGTCCGCGCTGGAACCCCCCCTCCCTGGCGCGCCTACGGCGCGCCAGGGGCGGCGCCGTGGGCGCCGCCACGGGGGTCCCGCGCTGGTCCGAGGGGTCCGGGCGGACCTCCGAGTTTTTATGTTTATGTCATTCTTCGTTCCCCTACGGTAGGTTTGCGTCGTGTCGACCAGCGGCGACCCCAGCGCGGGCGTTCAAGGTTGAACGCCGCCGGCGACCCAGAATCGGTCGATGTTGAACGATCGGACGTTGCGGCAGCGGCCGATCGTTCAAGGTTGAACGATCCCTGCGGTGTCAAAAACCAACGCTGGGGTCGGAACGACACGAACCTGCCGTATCCATGGAACCTTCCACCCACGGAGGCTCCTTTGAAGCTTCCTGTTCTTTGGAAGCCTTCCGGCCAAGGGTTTTCGGGAGGTGGGCCCCCCGCAGGGGCCCGCGTCTGTGTGGAGGGTGCCCAGGAGCTCGGGCCTCGCGGGGCTCTCCCTCCCTGTTCTCCCGCGGCCTCTTCTGCCGTCCCTCCTCCCCCTCCTCCCTCCACCCCCTCCTCCCCCTCCTCCCCCTCCTCCCCCCTCCTCCCCCTCCCCCTCCTCCCCCTCCTCCCCCTCCTCCTCCCCTCCTCCTCCTCCTCCTCCTCTCCTCCTCCTCCTCCTCTCCTCCTCCCCTCCTCCTCCCCTCCCCCTCCTCCTCCTCCTCCTCCTCTCCTCCTCCTGCTGCTCCTCCTCCTCCCCTTTCCTCCTACCTGCCCTCCTCCCATTCCTCCTCCTCCTCCTCTCCTCCTCCTCCTCCTCCTCCTCCTCCTCCTCCTCCCCCCCTCCCCCCACCCCCCCCCCCCCTGCCCAGGCGATCGCGTAATTATTTGGTGGGGCATGAGTGCCCACGTTTCGGCGACCGTGCCACGTGTGGCAGGCCCCCACGGCCAGCACCGACTCGTGCCTGCGTTCGTGGATTGGCACTGTATGCTTGCAGTGGATGGGCAGAGGTTGCAGGACGTCAGCGAGGAGTTTCGGCACATCGACCTCGTTGCCCTGACAAGCACGGGCGGGTGCGCCTCGCCAGATCAGCCGACGACGAGGTCTCCTCAAGGCGTCCAGTGTGCAGTGCGTTCTGGCGCTCTGGCAGCACTCCTGGGAGGCACGTGAACCAATCGTATGTTCTCAGCATTTCACTGCGGAAGAGGACGCTCCGTCACCGGCTACTCCTGCCGTTCCCCAGCATCTTCGGGGACGGGTCGCGCTCCGCAGGCTTCTCTCAGGACGCCTGAATCTGCTCATCCCGATCACCTGTGTTCCTCCCAGGCATGCGGGGCGCCGCGAAGGAAGGGAAACGTGGAGGAGCAGCTGCTCATCGGAGGTATCGGCACACGGTCGGGACGACGTGCTCATGGCTGGAGCGTGCCTTCATGTGGGCGCCTGCCCGCTCGAGCCTGCGGTTGGGCTTCGATCTGGATAACTCCGTCGGCTGACGAAACAAAGGTAGTGGTCAGATTGCGGTGGCGTCTCGGGCTCCAGGCCCAGATTGCTACGAGGAGCAGCATTGCTTGAGCGATCGTGTTCTCGAGGTTGTACGGGAACACGCCATCAGTGTGGTGTCCGCGGATTGCAGAATCCGCCCTACATCTTATGGCTCCAAATCGAACGCCAGAACCGACCTGATTGCGATGCTTCATTGACAGCGGGAAGATGTTGCGAGATGTGTGCCTTCGGTTCGGTCTAGTATGCGGCTGAAGTTGGTGAGGCGCAGCGGTCCACAGGACCGCATCCGTTTGATGCTCACGCTGGATTATGTGGTGGAAATGTCGCATTCCAGAATCTATCGCGTGGGTTGGAATTTCGATAGGCTGGCTCAAGCACTTCTACGAGGCGAAGGGGCACGGGACTTTGTCGCTAACCTGGAGCGGGAGTTTGAGCAGGCCGACTTCCACGAGTTGTGCCTCCACGCGTCCTCGCCCGACGAGGGCTAGAAGAGGTGGGTCATGGTTGTGTTCGGTCTGGCAGAGCGACACTTCGTCCGCCAAGCGGCCACCGACCCCAGGGGCCCGAGAAGATGCCGAAACCCGTGCTGAACTTCAACGCGAACGACGGAGGCTTCGAGAGAGTGGGCGCGGCGAGGAGGAGGCGGGCTTGTCGTTGGCGCGGGCGTCCAGGGGCCCGCGTAAAGCACGGCGCGCACGTCTGGAGGAGTCTACACTCCAGGCGATGCTTTAAGAAAACCAAAGTTTTCGGCCAGAGTCTCGATTATTCTTAATGTTTCAATGTAAATCCCAACATTTGAATAGACATTCTGGGTTTGATTTCAAATTCTGAGACTCTGAATTTCTTAACCCATGATTTCTAAAGCATTTCGCAGGGTGTACTGCTGAGCTGGTTGCTGAGATAGGAGCTGCGTGGGCCAGTCGGCGACGCGCAGACGTATGGAGACTGGGTCATCTACTGGCTGGCAAACGCTGTGGCCCGAGGGACGAGGAAAGATAACGTTGCGGACGAGTTCTTGCCGAGGTGCTCCGGGGTGGAGGAGTGTTTGGGAGGATTTCGGCATGCGCGCGCGACGACGCGCGCATGTGCACTTCATCATATAGTTTGCACAGACTTCTGAAACACTGATGGTTTTTGCTAAACGAGTGCGCGCGCATATTTTTGTGCAGAGGATGGCGGTGGGGGTCGATACCCGCCCCCCTGGGATGGTGCGAGTTCATATTCAGGATGGACGGTGGGGCAGAATCGTATGTAACTTGCAAATGCGAAAGGGGGTGCGGATAATCCCAGGGGGGGGGAATTTTTTTTCCTTTCAGAAAGAATATGTGCGACGGCGACGGCGGCGACGGGCGGCACCGCCCGCAAAAGCCGCCCGTCAGCGTCCCCAGATAGCACGACCTCAAGCCCACCTCCCCGCCTCCTCAGCGCGCGCCCGCACGCCACGCCGCAAGCAGGCGTGCTCATCGACGATGCCGTGCGTCGGTGTGCCAGCCGTCGCGCAGATGTCCACGCACTGGTTGGCCTTCTTTTCGCGATCCGTCGTCCTGCCAGCGCCGAAGTCGGCGATCGCCGCGTGCGCCAGCGCTTCAGACGTCAAGGGTAGTAGTAGTAGTAGTAGTAGTAGTAGTAGTAGTAGTAGTAGTAGTAGTAGTAGTAGTAGTAGTAGTAGTAGTAGTAGTAGTAGTAGTAGTAGTAGTAGTAGTAGTAGTAGTAGTAGTAGTAGTAGTAGTAGTAGTAGTAGTAGTAGTAGTAGTAGTAGTAGTAGTAGTAGTAGTAGTAGTAGTAGTAGTAGTAGTAGTAGTAGTAGTGATAGGAGCAGAAGGAGGAGGAGGAGCAGGAGGAGGAGGAGAGGGATGCTGATCATGATGATGATGATGATGATGATGATGATGATGATGATGATGATGATGATGATGATGATGATGGTGATGGTGATGGTGATGGTGATGATGATGATGATGAGGAGGAGGATAAAGGATAGTACATATGACACAAGGAGAAGCATAAGAAGGATAAGATGACCAATCGTACAATTAGTAATACTCAGAAGAAGAGGGAGCGGACGAGTAATAACACACAGAAGAAGAGGAGGATGAGGAGGAGGATGAGGAGGAGGAGGATGAGGAGGAGGATGAGGAGGAGGAGGAAGAGTTGAGAGCCTCATTTTCAAAAGGACCCGCCGTCCACCCGTGAGGCTGTTGCGAACTTTCAGGACGAATGCGAAGGGAATTGCCCCGTTGGGGGACAACCGTTTACAATTCCTGAATCGTTCCAACCACCATTCTCAGGACTTCAACGCTTGATGATGAGTTTTTTTAGATCTTGAATCATGCTGGAACACCATTCCTGGGACTTCAGCACAGCGGGTCAACGCGTCTGTTGCGCCCCGACGCCCATGAGTCTGTCCAAAACGTCGTTTCTGGTTCGTTAACCATGAGAATGTGTGAAACCCTTGCGAACTTTTAGAACGAGAGCTACAATTTGAATTGGAACCGCCCTCAATCCGTGAAGCTCTCGCGAACTTTGAAGACGAATGTGCGTGGCGTTAAGGCGAGGGCCACATTTCGAAAACCGCCCGCTGTCAATCCATGAGGCTCTTGCAAGCTTTTACGACGAATGCGCACGGCGCTAAGGCGAGGGCCATATTCTGAAAACCGCACGCTATCAGTCCGTGAGGCTGTTGCGAACTTTGAAGACGAATGCGCGCGGCGCTAGGGCGGGAGCCGCATTTTGAAAACGACCCGCCCTCAATCCGTGACGCTCTTGTAAGCTTTTAAGACGAATGTACGCAGCGCTAAGGCGAGAGCCTCATTTTGAAAACCACCCGCCCTCCATCTGTGAACATGTTGTTTGTCAAATTTCAGGCTTCTGGATCATTGGTGAGGAAGTCTCAGGCGAAACGCCAGGCCCGCCTTTTCGACCGACCTCGGGGCGTGGCAGAGACGAGTTATTTAACAGGAGAAGGAGTGAATGAGGAGTATGGGGAGGAGGAGGAGGAGGGAGAGGAGGAGGGAGGAGGAGGAGGATGTCGAACGACGTCGACGGCAGCGGAGACGACGACGACGGCGGTGGAGGCGGCAACCAGAATAATGATGATAATGATGATGA